ACTCAAAGAGCTCTAGAGGGAGCTAATCTATTTATACACGTATATATATTTTTGAAAACCATCTCAAACCTCAACTGTACTATTAACCAGAGTGATGATTCATTCATGCTCATGGAGTAGTAATGATCTGTGGGTTTGTAAATGTACAGTAGTAGTGTTAGATCTTAATCTGAAAGATCTATGCATTATTTGATTTTCTTTCAGAATATTCTTTCCTGTACAAGTAACCCTAACAGTGCATATGTGTAACATATGTCATAATTTAAAAAGAAAGTAATGGCTTTTGCTGATGGAAGATTTTATAACATTTCCCTCAAAAACATGTTTAAAACATATGATATATACAAGTATATATATATATGAACCTGCATGTACATCTATACCTGCCTAACCCCCACCAACACTGGCCTCTTCCTGGAGGTCCTTTGGACTTTAAAATATAACAAGGAGTAATTATTCTGAATCCCATGGCTGCGAAGCCACAAACACAGGAAAATGAAATTACTTGTTACTTCTTTTAGGTTAGAGTGAAGCCAGTCCAATTCAGACTTTTCTTCTCCTTTAGGTTGGGAGTATTGAAGGTAGCTATATTCATAATTCCCAAAACCCGACACTCTGGACTAGAGATATGCCAAAGACATCATAACAGAGCATCCTCATAATATCAGCATCTCCTTGCCTTCTGAGTAAATTAAGGCATCTCCCTGCCTTCATTTAATTTAAATTTAGTGGAATTTAAATTTGATTAATTTTACTTTTAATTTAATTTAGTGGAAGTAAAATTGTCTTTGCGTTTTCCTGTGCAGAAAATAGCTCATGGTAGAGTTCTGAAAGAAATGAAATTCAAGGAAATGCTACAACAGTTTATGTGTACAAAAAGGAAATCGAGACATTTTTAGGATGACTTGAAGCATTTGGGTTTGGCCAGGATTTGTGAAGAGAGTGGGCAGGTATATCATTAAGGGGCCTTGGAGAAAGCACGATGAGGTAAGTCAGGTGTACAGAAAAGGTCTACCTGACTTCTGGAGAGAGAGGGCATAGCCCAGTGGGTGGACTCCACTGCAGGTGGGCAGGAGCAAAGGCAACTGCTGCTTACTCGGGCCCTCCCCGGCCTCCCCTCTGGTCCTCTGGTCTTCATCTCACCAGATACTCTTACACTCTGATACGCTCACATACCTTGTCATGGTTACTTAGTTTTTTGAATCTTACTTTGGAAGAAAAGGTAATAATAAATGGGGTTTCCCCCTCAATTTCAACCCCATCAAAAATGTTAATAATAATATGAGCCAGCATACAGATGACATATATTTTTAATGTGTTCAAAGTACTTGATATTTATTGGATTAGTTAAACTTTTGTCAGATGAGGAACATGCAATACAGTGAGGGAAAGAACAGAATAAGTATGTTTGAGCTAAGGGGAAAAGACTGAATAGATTAATGGCTAGAACTAAGAAGTGGAAACAAAAATATCAGGTAATGGGATCAAATGTTTTATATTAATTCTGAAATCATCAGTATGATTTATAGAAGTATCTAATTTTTCCTCTTATCCTAGAGATTATTTATTTTAGAATTGTAATAATTTAAAAGTTCTGTTGATTGTCACTTTTTGCTCTTAGCTGATTTCTATCTTGACATGATTTCAACATTTCTTTCTGATCTGGATTTGAATCATTTTTTAAATTATTCTTTTAAAACGTCCAAGCCAAGGAAATACTGTATATATGAAAAGGGGATTAATCAAATGAGTTCATTTATGTAAGAGTATTATACATATATTACTGAGAAATAGACCCCATGTGATACAGATGAAAGAACGTGACATATATCCACAATCAAGTCACAGTTGTGTCACTTTGTATCTGTGTGACCCTCAACTAGTTTCCTAACCTGTCTCAGCCTCAGTTTCCTCATCCACAAATAGGAAAAATAATACAAGTTTTGCATACATTTCAAAATTATTTGATAATAAAATTAAAACTAATTTGTATTCATTTTGAAATTTGGCAACTGCTATTTATAAATAAATATACACACAGTAATAAAAACAAGTAATATTTTAATTATAACTTTATCATACATAGTCTATTAAGCCATGGAACTTTAGGAAGTTGATATCTAAGATATCAAACTTTTTTTTTTATCACCTTTGTCCAACTCTTGATACCATAATGAAGATATTATAGACAAAAATGAAATACCATCCTTTCTTTTTGAAAGATTAGTATAGATGTTAAATTGATCGTAAGTGCAATTGTTCAAAAGGTTCACATACTAGGTACGTCATAGTTCATTCATGAATACATGGCGACATTTAGATTACAGGGTCTTATCATTTTTAGAGATTAAGAGCCCTTTGAGAATCCCATAAAAGCTAAGGATCCTCCCCCCAGAAAATATACAAATGCACATATAGACAGAATTTTGCAAGGAATTTCAAGGTGTTCCTATCCGTGGATTCATCTCTACCTTGGATTGACATATAAAAGGACTTTGGTGATGTGGCTTTCTCTTTTTAAGATTTCTGGGTTTTTCAGACTATTCTAGTCTTCTATTATAGATCATATTATAGAAGTTGTTCTCCTGTCCAGCTGTGCCTCCAATCATTCCTTGCTTTAGCTATATGCCATCCAAAGTCTGCCTCTTAACAATCCTGATTCAGTCTACCCCTGCTATTTCCGCTCTCCAGCATTTCTCATCAATGCTCGTTCACAGAGGAGGCAGGGAAGGGAGACTGTAAACCGGGCTAGCATATGCAAGCAGAGACTTTGGACAGAAAAGGCAGTTGCAGGTAGTTCCAGGACTATTAAATTAGGCTGCAGTGAGACTGCAACAGAGGCAAACAGTCTGAAAAATTAGACTGCTGAGGTTTTCACTGATTCACAATTCTACTAATCCTAAAACAGTCAAATATTTGAAATTCTTTGTTACTAGGTTCATTTGTAAATGGCTCTTCATTAAGACCTCCTGGAATTTGGCCATTCTCTGCCTATAATAATAAAATATAAAAGCGACTTTTAAACTGTAAAGTACTGTAACGGTGTAAGGAAGTAATCATATTGGACTGTAATCTGTTTTGATGTGATGTGAAGAAAAGGCGCACATCATTACATCCGTTGTATGAAATGTCAGCCAGATGGACAAACAGAACAAAGATTTTTTTCTTCTAGTAGTCCATCTAACAACTCTGTATTTTTCCAGTTTGTATAATTTTAATCCCCAGATTTTCTACTTTTGCACTAACTCCTCAGCCTATTCATTACTTAGTTTTACCTCATTTTGGAAATGGCTCTCAAGATTTAGTGTCTTCAGATATTGTCTTAAATAAATTTGCATATGTTAACAACAACAACAAAATGCAGGCCAAATATTTTTAAATGCAGTCATATTCTTAGAATACCAGAAAAGCATGTTCTTATTTTGTAACTTCAGCAACAATCACTCCATATCACTAAAAGTGTTACAGTTTAGAAAATGAGAGGAAAGATGTATCATTTCTTCATGAGCCAGGTGGATTCACTATTGTGGAATTTTGTTTTTTACTATTTAATTTTGGTTTAAATATTTATATTCTGGTGCCAATGTGACCCAATGAGAATCCATTTTTAAAATAAAATCAAGAAGAAGGTAGCATACTGCTTAATAATTAATGTGAAGTATTGGATTAGAGTATTATTTTATGCTTTAAAAATATTATTGGTATTGCGAGGTGAATTTTTGCAGTGGTGATAAACAATATTGATTCTAAGTGGAAAAAGACAAAAAAAAAAAAAGAAAACGTAGAGCTCAAAGATTTAAGGTGCAGAAATGCTGCTGAGGCGGCATTAACAGTGAATTACATTCCCATTAGGTAGTGTTCATTGAGAGGGAATGTGCATATGCAGGGTTTGAAGAAATTTAAAAGAAGGAGAGACACTTTTAATTCATAATGCCAACAGGCATCATTTGGTATCAGCAGCATGGCTGCAGTGTTCTCTGTATGAGCTTTCATCGCCATTCAGAATACTTCCTTTTTTTAAGTGCACTATTATATTTTTGGTAGACAATTCACAGAAAGAAATGGTGAATGATAGAAAATTGCTTTTTCCTAAATAGAAGAATTTAGAGGGAGAAAGACATTTGAAGCAAAGATATAGAGAGGTCATTATTATGAAATTCAAGGCTATTGTTTATTATATTTTAACTGTAATTTTTATTAAGCTTTTTTATGTTTATTGTACCAAATTAGGGTCACTAGTGTTAAAAGATTAAAACCTTTATCAATGCTTTTGATGTAGAACTTTTATTTTCAGTTTCTTTTTCTAGCAGACCACTGATAACTTTGTCAGTATCTTCAGACCAACTGATTCTTTTTTTTTTTTTAAGAATCCATTTAATTTTACAGAAATTACATTCTATAGAAATAAGTTAAAATGCAATAGTTTGCCGACATAAAGAAATATATCAGAAAGCAAAATGATATTGATAGACTTTGAAAGAGAAGGATCTTTGTGGGCATTTAAAACACCAAGAATTACAAGACCATGGTGAAGAGCAGGCTAGTTAAATTGGAGAAGTCAAAGCAAGATTTCTTCCTGATGTTCCATTTACTGAAAATTAGTAGAAGTTAGTCCTAAGTAGCTAATAGTGAGCCCCAGGTACTAACTTCTCTGAAGCACTAAAATAGGAAGTGGTGAAAGAAACCTGTAAAAGAAACCCTCAGGGATTCAACTATGATCCCTTTAATCCTTGAATTGTCAAACCAAATATAAAATAAGAGAGCTATGGAGTTCTGAGACTTAAATGATATTATCTTTTTAAAAGAAAATATTAGGTCTTTTCACATCTCTGGACAAGAATAGGGTATGTGTTCAGTGTACAAAAGAATAACTTTGAACCATAGATGCATATTGCTTTTTCATTTTTAATGTAGTAGTATTATTATTATCTATGACTAAGCAAGCTGCACCCAGTAGGAAAAACATTATAGCCAATATTTTATTTTCCTTTTTTAAACAGATGATTCAGCGAGAAGCAGATGTAAAAAGTAAGGTAACTGCTGTGGCATTAACAGACTCTGTTCACAATGTGTGGCATCAAGAAGCTGGCAAAACGATTCGCGAATGGATGAGAGAGGTGAGACTTGGTGTTTTCCAATGCTGAGATGAATGGATGTGAGCCTTTACCAACTCAACAGAGCCACCACCAACTTATATCACCTTCCACCCCTAAACTCCCTTTCTACAGGCAGAACATTGAGAGGGAATAGAAAAACTACACATGGTTAAAATAATAATAGAAAATCCTTCTGAAAAACACATATTTTTTGAAAGCCCCCTACCCCCCTTTTTGGCTTTCTACAGAATATAATGTGTGCATACAATATACAGTTTGAATTTTGGCTGAAGAAGGTCTTGGTGTTAGGAGATTCCTATTCTCTGATGTTTGATATTTCCACCAGCTATTTAGCATTGGTGCTTCTTAGTTACAAAAAAATAAGCTAATTGTACACTATTTCCTCTTGAAAGGTGTTCAGTATGTGCCACTCTTAAATGATTGGCTCACTACTGCCAGTAGGGGGAAAAGTAAAAAACTGAAATAGTGTTATGCCAGACTCTTGAGCTAGGAGAAACCCAGGGGCTGGCCATGATCCAGCTTCAGGCTAAGAAAGCTTCTTTTCATACTTCCTTTTTAAAATTTTTTTAAAAATTTTTATTATACATACATGTGGGGTACAACATTGATTTTCAGTAATTGTGTAGAATGTGTGGTGGTTCAATCAGTATAGTTAGCTTATTCATCATTACAACACACAATCATTTTTTGTGTTCATTAAACAATTCCTCATTAGCCCCCTCCCTCTCCCCCTTCCCCTCCCTCTACCCCTCCACTCCCCTTTTCCACTTCTAGTTTTCTAAAAGTTCAACATTTTACTGTGATTGTTTCTTTCTTTTTTTTCTCTCTCTCTGTCTCTCTTTATTGTTCATTTGTTTATTTATGGATTCAGCTCCCATCTATGAGTGAGAACATGAGGTATTTCTTTTTCTGTACCTGGATTGTTTCATTTAGGCTCATCCATGTTGCTGCAAATGGTAGAATTTCATTCTTTCTTATGGCTGAGTAGTATTCCACTGTGTGTGTGTATATATATATATACCACAATTTCCTTATCCAGTCATCCATCGATGGACATTTAGGTTGGTTCCATCACCTGGCTGTTGTCAATAGAGCTGCAGTAAACATGGGAGTGCAGGTATCCCTTCCACCTGATGATTTCCTATCCTCTGGATATATCCCCAGCAGTGGGATTGCTGGATCATATGGAAGTTCTATCCAAGGGCTGGTGAACCTGAAAACTTTTTAACAAGGACTCATTGAACATGCTTCCACTATTATTTTTCTTAACTTTCAGCCCATTATTTCTTTTATTCTTATTACAGTTATCTGGCTGAGTTTTTTTGTTGTTTATATTTACCTTTCTGATATTATAAGCAATTGACATCAGCTGCCCATGCTATAGTCATTGTTTAGTCAAATCATTTACTTACATTATATAAATAAAGTGATTGACCTTCCCGGTTTTCCAATTTTTGATAACAGAATGCCCAAGTGTCTCTTCAACTAACCTCTTACCATAGGACTATGTGGTGGGTAAATTCTACCACCCCTCATGGTACACTGTAAGGCCTAGAGAGTTAATGTTTGAAAAGAGTTCTTAATAGATAGAAGGATTGGGCTGTGTAATCTAATGGTCATGTTATAATATCAACAATCTGTTGTCACCGTTGCTGTTATTCTTTGTTAGTACTTTCATCATTTGAAGTCCAACATAGTTTTATTCCAGTCCTTAAAATTTTGCAAAAGTTATTGTATGAAGGTGGATTTATAAATCTATTTTAACATGCAGGTATTTTCTGACCATATTGCTTTTCATATTTTTCTTTTCACAATGTAGCTACATCTTTAATTGCTTTTTGCAAGGATCTAAACTGTTTTCACAAAGAAGTTTCATGTATTACTTGCCTGTAATTTTTAATGCTGTTTATCTGTCCAAATGGATACACAGACTGCTCCCAGAATTATGTAAATAGTAAGGTTAATAAATGAGCTGTTAGTAACTTTTTCCCCACACATAACTAATATGGAATTTGGTACTTGACCTAAACTAGAAACATCTCTCTGTTCATCATTTTTTAATTGGGACTTCTTCATGTAAGTTTCATTCTACATGACAAATATAACAAAATTTGTTTAGGTTTACTTTCTAAGTATTTCTAACTGCATTAGGCTGGATTAGGTGTTCCCTTCATATATCAGAATATATTAATCTGCATTTTTCATCTGACTAAAACAGGCAATAATTGAAATCGTCTTAATTTAATCAAGGCTACCATTAATTTCTTCACAAGCTAGGCTTTTATAAAATTTGTAAAAGTTAATAAATGCCCTAGTTCTTGGAAAATTCTTTCAGTTCCCTCAATTATGCTTTAGGGAAGCAGCATGCAGTTTTGTATTCTGACCTATCAAAATTGAAACCCCAGCTAAATCACTTACCTACCTGTGTTAGTGAGAGTAAATAACCAAGCAAGTTATTTACTCTCTTTGAAATTCAGTTCTCTCATCTACAAAATATAATACCTTCCTTGCATACGTGGTTAGGAAATAACATATGTAAAGAAATAACACAGTTGTTGGTAAATTACAGCTCTTACTGTGGTTACCTTCTCACTCACGAATAATATAAAATATATGAACTGTATTCTCTTTTTGTTTTATGAATGATTTGTATATTCAAAATATCTTACAAAATGGAAGCAGGATGACAGATTGGAAGTAATTCAGAACAAGCAGTTAGGAGAAGTAAGTTTTGATAATGATTCTGTATATATGAACTGTATTCTCTTTTTGTTTTATGAATGATTTGTATATTCAAAATATCTTACAAAATGGAAGCAGGGTGACAGATTGGAAGTAATTCAGAACAAGCAGTTAGGAGAAGTAAGTTTTGATAATGATTCTGGCTTATTTACTCACTAGGAAAATCAATTGTTAAGGATCCCGCATGTACCAGCTAATTTGCTAAGACTTATAATTTTGGGCAAGCCACTTTGTCTTTTGAGGTCTGTCTCAAAATTGTGAATTAGAGACATACTTCCTATTTCATCTACTTTATGAACTATTGTGAGAATCCAAGATGATGATCAAGAAGAAAACCCCTTGAAAGGGAAATGGTACTACATAAAGAAATGAGATATACAGTATTATTATGGAAAACACTATAATATTCCAAAGATGAAGATTATGGGATTATTCTTGATAGAGCTTTGAAATTACCCCTGCTCAGAGCTCTTTCCCAAAACAAGAACAAAAGTGAAGCTTATAAAAGTCTATGGCAGATATTCATATAGGAGCCCACTTAAATGTGTGACCCTGGTAGAGATTTGAGTGTGGTTTGGCAAAATAAGAGTCCAGTGTTCCCTGACATTCAGGATGAAGCTCCATCCCATTTTCTTTTTTCCTTTGTTAGTCTCAATTTACTCTGCAAGACTCCTTTAAATAATGAAGAGCAAACAGGCCTGGATTACAGTAAATAGAAGGCGCCATTGTCTTGAGCATGGCTGTTGGGAGAAGGGTGTGATAGGGCAACCTTTGTGTCCCTCAGCATCCCCCTTCCTACCACCTCCTATTCTAGCTTCATTTGGAATCAGCAAAAAAACTGAGATAGTGTGCAAATATCCTTTCCATGAAAAACATCTTAGTTAAGCTGGATTGTTTTAAGAATAACAGTCGGTAGTAGAGGAAGCCTTGGTGAATTTATCGTCTTGATGATTGGGTCCATTATTTCACCAAACACTACTTTATTTTTTTTTTCCTTTTTTTATCTTTTTTACTGACACCAAACACTACTTTAAAATTTAGAGTAAGACAGTGGTACAAATTGCCTAGTTGTTCTTTTTATGCTAAAAATTAGTAAAAATAGTTTTTGTTTTATAAGTATATTTAAATTAATGTGATAGAGTTATTGGTGTTAAGTATTCATTTACTATAAAAAGCTGATTTATTTTTTTTAAACATACCAATTTAGCATACAGAACAAAAGTTAAGGAATATATTTTTATATTACTTGTGTAAATTTTAAGAAACAACTTCTGTTAAAGAAAGAAAGTCAAAGAGGGCTACTTTTGGCAGTTGTTCCAAGTGAAACCTACTCCCAACTAAAAGACCAAGCACAGATACTAAGACAGTCTCATGAGAGGTAAAAAAGTAACCAAAGGCAGCTCCTAAGAGGCACTTCTTACCTCAAGCTCCAGGACTGTCCAGGCTGAGTAGGCAAATGTTGTTTCCTGACATACCCCTGGCCCCAGAAAGTCTCCAGCCAAGCCAGGTGTACTGCCGTACATTAATATGGGCCCTAGCAACATAACCTGGTGAATCATAATTGTACTTGTCTGAGGACACAAAATCTTCCATATTAAAGATGAACTTGTAAGGCAATTGTGATTTACAACCTAGACAAATGCAATAAAAATTAATAAAAACTTAGATTCAACCAGGGCAACATGCATCTCCAAATACCTCCATATACCTTGCACAGGAATAGCTATGACCTACTTTTCTCTTTAAATATAATATACTAAACTCTAACCTTTTTAGTAAAAATATTTAATTCATTTCATATCTACTCTGAAATATTGTCCTTGGTTCAAATGTCAGAGCGAGTCACTTGCACTGTGGCCTATAGTCACTTCTATTCCATATCAATAGTTGCCAAACTTTTGGATTTTAAAAAGAAGAAAATTTACAACCACAAAAACTTGTAGTGTCATAATTTCAGAGTTAAAAACCTTTAAATTGAAAACACTTCACTTTAAGAAATACTCACTGCATTGCCTATTGTTCCATTTTTCCTTCAGACCCAGACATGATCCATCCCAATCTGCTGGCTCTGGCCAAGGGCTTCTTTCACTGTGCATGTTTGTTGGGACAATGGGGTCTGCATCTGAGACTCGAGCATGGCACTGCTGGTACCTCTAGCTCAACATGCCTTGTTGCCTACTCAGGGCATCTAAGAATAAGATCTCAGGAGCTGCTAACACACTTGAACATGTTTTGAAGTTCTGAAGGGCTTTTCTGGTGGGCCGCCTATGTTGCCACCTAGGACACTTCAGCAGTGTTCATCTCAGTTTGAGAACTAGGGTAGGGGACAAATTGTAGCATTGAAAAGGGGGATAAATAAGCATTAGAAAAACAATGAAAGAGATTTGGTTTCTAATCTATATAAGACATGGCAGAATAGGGAGTTTACATTTGGTAAGATGAAACTTCAGACATTGAATTCATATGCAATGGTTATGTCTTTCTCTACATGTAATTTCCAGTATATTTATGTTATTTTATTTCATCATACTCTATCATATGGCAAACAATTTTAGCCCATTTTGCCCTTTTTTCTATATACTTTTCCCAGTGGAGTAAAACTGCCACATGCACACACACACACACACACACACACTAAACACACACACACACACACACATACACTCTTTGAACTTATAGCATCAAACCTTTACAATCCTACACAGGTGCTGTGTCATTCCATGGAACTTTTGGACATACTCACTTTAACTGCAAGGTGTTATCTAATTTTTATGAGAGATAAGCCTTAAACATATGCCTAGATAAAAACTGAAATTTCAGAATCATAAAATGTTAACATATTTTGCTGTGTTTGAGTTAAAGGTGACCTGGACAAAAAGGACAAAAGTTCATTTTGTTCAGCTTTTTAAAGTCAATAACAAGTTAGAAAATGATTTATTGCCAGTATATTTTAATGTGCCATCACTTTTATTAGTACNCACACACACACACACACACACACACTAAACACACACACACACACACACATACACTCTTTGAACTTATAGCATCAAACCTTTACAATCCTACACAGGTGCTGTGTCATTCCATGGAACTTTTGGACATACTCACTTTAACTGCAAGGTGTTATCTAATTTTTATGAGAGATAAGCCTTAAACATATGCCTAGATAAAAACTGAAATTTCAGAATCATAAAATGTTAACATATTTTGCTGTGTTTGAGTTAAAGGTGACCTGGACAAAAAGGACAAAAGTTCATTTTGTTCAGCTTTTTAAAGTCAATAACAAGTTAGAAAATGATTTATTGCCAGTATATTTTAATGTGCCATCACTTTTATTAGTACTGGAAAATCCTATAAGACATAGTTTTACATATGTGAAGTGTAGGTGAGCAGTATTAAGACTGACCTATCACCTGGGTAATAGCCGACTTTCATCAGATTTGCAGGTACTAGTAGGATGAATAATAATTAAAATATATACCTAATCGCTGCCTGTCTGTTGGTAGTGCTAATTGCTGTCATTGAAAAGACTGAATTGTTTAAGAAAAAGAGAGAGAAAGAGAAAGTCATTCTTCATTGAAGCTATCTCCCTGTATCATTGGGAGCCTATTTTTAGTACCTATAGAAGTCATGATTTTTGAATTTATTAGGGGCTGTGATGGATGATAAAACAAATCATCCATTTGAATATCTTGACACTGCTTTGGAGAATACTTGTTTCTTACAAGCAAGTGTCACATTGTATATAAAAGCTGGCTAATTGTGTGCTAATCTTCTGCATTATCTAGAACTCTCTGATGTGGTATTCTACCCATGATAATATTAATTTTACTTATTTCGAATGTATGAAATATCTTCTAAAACCTTATTTCTTTTATAATTTCTACTCTCTTACATTTTGCATTCAGCTGCTAATTAAGATTAGGAATGCACGTTATAGAATATGTATCCACTTTAAACCATCAAGCTTTTGCAATACATGAAAAATACTAATATTTTACACATTTTAAATGTAAAAAGAGAGAAAGCATTTAAGAACATTACTAGATGTTGTTTGTTTTCGTGTTTTTTTTCTTACACAGTTCAATAGTTTCATTGATCCACTGTTTCTTACAAAAATCTGCCATGCTTTGTGAACTTCACTTTCTAATCTCATACAGCAACCCTTCCTTTATATTATTCCTGCTCTCCCTGGTCCCAGAACAGTAGGGTTGCCTTGACAAATCTATTCAAAAGCCATTCCTCGGCCTTTATTGGTGGGGACTGGGGCCTTTGAAATTCTCTCCTCACTGCAACACAGCTGACATCTTCTTCCAGACAGAATGAATTAAGGAAATACAATAAGACACTTGATCTACCAGTCAAGGATCTTTCCACAGTGAGGACGGATTCCATGGTGCCCAACCAGGGTAGCAAGCATCTAAAAATACACAATACATGCTTGTTTACCAGAATAGCAATCACCGATTTTTCCAACATGATTGATGGGATGATTTCTTTTAAAATAAAATCTGTCTGGAAATTCATTGTGTGTGTATGTGTGTGTGTGTGTGTTGAGAAATTTTTTAAAAACCATATGAGGTTAATCACATTTTTAAAGCCAGACTTCAAACACAGACTTAAAATGTGTAGAAGAAACATAAATTATTTTTATTTCATTTGTCTGAGTTGTAAATCATCATTACCTCAGAGGTTGAGCCTTAATGTTGAAGGCTTTGTCTCCTCAGACACACAGCTACAATTTGCCAGGTTGTGCTTCTTTATAACTATTTTGATACAGCCTTTATTGAAGCAGGGCGAAGTAAAAATTAGAAGATATTATTTTTATATGGGCCAGATTTTGAGAAGTAAATGCAAAATTCATTTCACAGACAAGGAATATAGTTTATAAATTAGCTATTCTTTCATATGTTCAAATTAATATTTATTTCAATCTAAAAGTTAAAAATGGACACTTTTTTATTTTCCCTTAATTATAATCCCTTCATTTGTTTACTTCTTGGCCATTTAACCATTTCTTCGAAATCTATTGCATAATTGTTCACAGAAGGTTACATGTCTTCTTAACATCAGCACAGATGATTCTACAGTCATGTTGGTCATGAATGATTACTGTTTACATAAGAAAAATTTTAAAGTATATGGAAAATAAATTGAACATATTTCTAGTGGTTGATTTAATAGGATAAATTAATCTCTTCAGCCTAAAAATTTGGTCTTAGCTTAAATTACATTTCAACAATATTGTCTCTATTACATTGCAGAACTGTTGTAATTGGGTCTCTAGTTCAGAACCATTAGACACATCAGTGGAGTCCATGCTACCTGACTGTCCCCGAGTCTCTGCAGGTAAGTGAAAAATATCCTAATGAAACGTAGAATTCCATTTTGTGAATTATGTTTTTCTGCCTTGAATTGTTGGATGAATTATTGATAACATATGGCATGGATCTACTTTACTACCCAAAATTTGTTAAATAACTTAAAGTGCTTACCAACAAACTCAGCAAGATGAGTAGGTGAAACTGTTCAAGAATGATATAGACAGTTGCTGTTGAAGCCTAGTGAGATAAGACATACATACATAAATATCTAAAAGACGAGGACTAGGTAGCCATACAGGATCTGTCACAGGGTATTTGTCTCTGATTGAATATCAACTCAGTGATATGAGTCATTCAAAGCTGTTGTGTGGCCTAGAGTCTTTAGAAAAAAAAATGTTTTCATGCTAAGATTTTAGCTGGGCCTTGTATGTTAAATAGGATTTGGGTTGTAGGAAGACATGTGAGATGGCACCCTAGGAAGAAGAAATAGAGCAATGCAAGGAGCAAGGGCTAGAATGGATCTGAAGATGTTCACAGGGAACAAAGGCAAGACTGGCCTGCCCGTTAAAAGGAAAGAAGTGAAGAGATGAGTACCTCAGGAAGTAGTTGGGCTCCAGAAAGTTGAAGGATGGCATTGATTTCCAGCTTACAAGGTTTGTACTTGACCCTCTAGATAAGAAGAGAGAGTAGCATGTGTCATTGCTTTCTGGCTTTGGCTTTCACAGTTCCCAGTCAATTTGGATGATAACACGAAATGAGCAGTGGTATCTGGTTACA